TTATTATCTGATTATCTAAAAGTATCCTTTAGAAGATAGATGTAAATAACTTTTCTCTTTTATCATTCTTTAAAAGTTCAATATGAATAATTTTAATTAAAATCAATATTTATATTATTTGATAAAATTTATATTTTAGTAACTTATCCAACTTAAATAAGAATAAGAAAAATATATTTATAGATGGAATTGATTTAATATTTTTTTGAAATGATTTTTTATAATGATATTTTGAAAATTTATGGTTTTAGTTTTAGTATTTAGTAAAAAAATATGTAACACAGCAAAAACATTTAAATCAGAATTTCAGTGGAGCTATATAGGCATTTTAGGTCATTGCAGTTTTGGTCATCATTTACTTAATGGCCTATTAGTGGCAGCAGCCAAAAGTGCCTAACATATGAATAACCACTATATCACGTGTTGAAATGTTATTGGCAATTTACTAAGTAACCGATGAGAAACACTCCTTAATTTCTCCTCTTTTTTTTTTATTATCTAGGAAATTTTATTAAAGTGAATGGATTATACTTATTAATAAAGAAATTATATAGTTCTTTGATTGATTGCAAACCTATAATTTTATTGTGTGTGTATATATATATATATATATATATATATATATATATATATATATATATATATATATATATATATATATATATATACTTATATACTTTGCTTTTGAGTTTAGTTGTTTATTATCGGTTTTCTAAAACATGCTCTATGATTGACAGATAATTTTGAGATAAATATTATTTCTTTAGATACTATTATTAGTTATTACAAAATTGGTTATAATGCAAGCAACATCAAGTGTGCAATTGGCGACATATTAAAACGAGCCAAAAAATAATGTTTTAGCAAGATTGTAATTATATATTAATATCGTCAAAAGTACTATTCTTTTTATTTTTATGTAATGATTTATTTAAATCGCTAAAAATAATTGTTATAATCCCTAAAATGTGTATATTAAATTAAGACCTTGAAAAAATAGATTTCATTTCTTATATCAAGACTCCATTTTTTATAAATGATAGAAATGAAGTCGTTATGAGAATAAGCTGAATAAAATTAAACGCTGAATGAACGGACAAAATTTAGACGTCCAAAAAAAGTCTATTGTGGACGTATTGTGGACCGAAAAAACTGTTTTGAACGTCCTTAGACGTACTTTATAGGTCCGAAATGGACGGACGAAAGTCGTTGTATTTGGTACGTCCAATGGAAGTCCAAAAGGGTCCGTTCGGACGTCCATTATGGACGTCCTTGGACGTATTAAGGACGTCCGTGTGCCCATTGGGAAATTAGTACAAAACTTGTTTTTTCAAATTAATTCAAATTAATACAACTTTAATAAAGTTATCGTTATCATTAGTTACGCAAAAAAAAAAAAAAAGTTTTATTGATTATGTAAACAGAGTTGGCAAACTAAACTTAGTATAACGTCCGTACATGATTTTTATAGTAAAAACAATATGAAAAAATTGAGATTTTTTCCTTAAACATAAACATGCCAAAGTGTAACTTAAGATTCCAGTTAATTTTTTTGTAAAAAGCAGTCAATACCATTATAAACATATTACAAGTTGATATTTATTAAAAACCTTTTTTTCTTCAGTATTTATGGAAGCGTAAATTTGAAATGGTTTTTACAAAAACTAGACGCTAGCTCATTTCCTACCGGTTCCCAGTGGGCACAGGACGTAAAAAAGACGTCCTTAGGACGTTCAAATCGCGTCCGTCCCATAAAATTTTAAACGTCTTTTGAACGTCTTTTTCGCGTCCAATAATTTTTTCGTCCAAAAAATATCCAGAATGCTTTATTAAATTAAAAAAAATTAGTTAAATCACGCAAGCGCTAAAACTTCTTAAAATTTTTAAGTAACGCATTTTTGATAAAGTTTTTTTTCAATTACAAAAGCAGTCTTTTTACAACGACTAATAGACGCGTTCCATCTGATTTTTGTTTTTGTTATCAATTACTTGAAAACTGTGGTAATATTGATACAGGTAATGAAATTTTTACAGATAATGAAAGAAACGGTTTAAAACTGAATATATGCTATACTATGTATATATATACTTGATATACTATTAGTATAGTATTGCTATATCAAGAACCAAGTTCTAACAATTTCAAAAATTTAGACATCTCATGCAGAATCGAATTTTTCAATAGGAAAACCTCTTAATGATACATGGAACAATTATCCTGATAATTCTTTGAATTCAATGTCTTTACTCGAAAACATTGAGCTATTCAATAATGGAACCAGTACATTAGTTAATGATCTTCTTGAAATATTGCCAAATCAAGGTTTGGAACTTCCCAAAGATTCAAGGAGAATTTTAAAAACACCTTGAAAAGGTGTTTTTAAAATGAAAAGCGACTTATAGACAGGTTCTTGCTAATTTATATATATATTTTTAAACATTTAATCACTAGAGAATCGTATTAATATTGATACATATATTGAAAGTAATACAAATATTGACATAAATAATTAAAAACTGGGTATATGATATACTATATATATATATATATATATATATATATATATATATATATATATATATATATATATATATATATATATATATATATATATATATATATATATATATATATATATATACATATATATATATATATATATATATATATATATATATATATATATATATATATATATATATATATATATATATATATATATATATATATATATTAAGTATATACTTGACACTTGATACAGTATTTCAAGTATAATAATTGATATACTATATCAAGAACCAAGTTCTGACTGTTTGAAAGACTTAGACATTGCAGAATCTCATGCATAGTCATATTTTTCAAAAGGAAAACCTATTAATAATACAGAGAATTTATGCTAATAATTCAATATAATTTAATATCTTTAATTAACAACTTTTAGATT